TGTTAAAAGAAAGTCATGAAATCTATGAAGCTAGTATAGTAGCAATCGTTCAAAATTGATTCGAACATTTAAATAAGGTGTTATGTATTCCACTCTTAGGGACGATTTCTAACCCCTTTGGGTTTATGAAATTGACCCTTCTCCTAGTTATTTTTATTCCACTCTTTGGTGTCATTGGGTGTGATACCATTAGAGGGATTCTGGTTTGGATCCTTTCATCCAAGCAACTTCATGGAGGTTCAAGATCTCAAGCATGGAGATCAAGGGCTACATAAGAGGTATGTTTTCTTACTTATGTTTTAGTTTTCTAGGGTTGATGTAATTAGCATGAAGCCATAGATCCATAGGTTGCATGTACACTTAGATATATCGTTGTTTCGATTTTTCCGCTACCTAGTTTTAGAGTGTATTTGATGCGTAGAAAACCCAACAAGGAGTTCTTTCATCTAGCCTCTCTTGGCTCGTCGAGTCATCGACCCACTCGACGGGTTCCACCTGTCATGAATCGCGGGGCAACCCCGACTCGACTCGTCGAGTCCACTTATGGACTCGGCGAGTTGCTTCCATGTTCTTACTCAAATGACCTTCTAAGGTCAGATCTGCTTCCCTAACTATCAGATCTACCCTTCAAGTGCTCAAAAGTCACGTAAAGGTGCAACCTTTACGTGCATGCAACCCACATCGAGACATAAATGGAGAAATAACTCTAAGGATGGCAACCTAGTCTCCAATCCTCCATGAACAAGCATAAAGCAGAAAGAGGAAGGTTCTCTGGACCTCTATGGGTCCAGATCTGAGGTCTAACCCAGCAAGGAACCATGAGCTCAACTTTTCAAGCCTTAAAAGGTTAAAGAAAACCCTAAATCATAGATCTTAACCCAAAACAAAAAGGAAGTTCGATTTGATACCTCAATAGTGTAGATTTGAACTTGAAAACCCTGGATCCACAGCTCCCTTGACCTCCTCTTGTTGGAAACCACTTCTCATTTGCTAAAGCACTCAAGAAATGGTGAATTAGTCTTCCTCTTGCACTACAAGCTTTCTCTCTGCTCTCTAGGGTTTCTCAGGGGTGCATTGGCCACAAATGGAGGCTATAAAGGCCTTTAAATAGGGCACAGACCCCGAGAATTAGGGTTTCCAAATATAGCGCGAACTCGTCGGGTCCTTCATTAAATCAGGCAAGAAATGTGCGGTCCTACTCGGCGAGTCTGAGCGCCTACTCACCGAGTCCCTCTCTAAAATTCAAGATAAATACTTAAAATAAGATACCTGGAAATCCGGATGTTACAGCCACCTCCGAGTCTTTCATACAAATTCCAAGGGCCACCCCTGGGCTTCCTATACAATATAATCTGATGGACCGGTATTGGTGCCTTCGACCCCCTAGTACTGTGAGGAGACTCACCTGAATCACAAAGCCGACTAACACTCAACTCAAAACCGTGCCGACCACAGCTAACTGCTCTCCTGACAAATGATGGGTGCTTAACACCTCCTAACAATCCACATAAGGTAAACCCTAAGTCTACCCTCCGAAAGTAGAATTTGACCCAAAAGTCAAACCAAGCCAAAAGTCATTGGTCAAAGTCCAAGTCAATAGCCCAAAAGCCAACTATTCATTCTCACGTCGTGACCAGTCCTTGGTCACGTCGTGAGATCTCACTCGGTCTGATTCCAACTCATCCCGATTCAACTCAGTCAACTCAGACATGAAAAGTCGTCGGAGCTGACATCACGTCGTGAGAGCCTCCTCCCACGTCGTGAGCTCCAAGAAGCTAACCAGAAATGGGGTCATTCAACCCTCAAGTCGTGAGCTCCGTGTCTCATGTCGTGAGATCAGTCTGAAGCCAAAAGTCCAACTTTTAAGTCCTTAATCCATGGTATATCAACGACACAATATTTTTTTTTTTTTGATATTGTTATAGAATATGGTTGTTTAAAAGGAATTGTATAATGATACAGTATAGCTATATAACCGTATACTATTTAGTCTTTAAATAGGAAACCGCCCTCTTAGAGTACGGTTTCATCACCGTACTCTGTTACCTAGTTTAACCGTATTTTATTACTTATTTTGTAGTAGTGTTAGGAAAAAAAAAACGTATGTAACGTGTCAAATTGTGAAAGTGACCTTTTTTATATATTTCTTTTATTATCAATTTTAAGAGTGTATACCACCTTTCTTGTATTATCTTTCTTTATATAATTTTCGGTCCTCTTTTGCACAATTTATCTTCTTGGGTAAACAACTTGAATCTTTGCTCATCCAACATATGAGAGCTTGGCAGTGTGATTCTTTATGAAAGAACCAACGGATCATTCTTGGAACCAAACAAGACATGTAAACAATCTAGTTTCAAAATGATACCATATATCGAATCAAGAAATACATAAAAATTACTCTTGAAAGCCCGATAAATCACTTTAGTTTCAACACTATGAAGAAAAGCTAATCTGATTAAGCTAAAATCTTTTCAATGGGTGGTATAATTGGGTTATTGTTCATCATGATGTATATATTTTCTCTTCAACTTTATCAAAGATTAAAGCCAAATTTTTGTATTGCCACATAAAAAAATCACAATCCAGCAATACGAAATATAAGGACATGGTCCATGTAACATGGCATTTTCTTCTCCACACACAACTTTTACTTATTAACATGAAGAGGTAGATCTTGGACTTCACATAGTAACCCCACAGATAATTAATAGTTAGCAGGACCACTATCAAAAGTAATAAAATACATATTGCCATTATATATATACCATAATTCTATATAGGCTGGGGACCAAATTGATTGATACCAAAGGGTAAATCGGACATTTTAGATTCTATGACACAAAGTGTCATTCTGTCCCATGAAAATTACAACACTTCTATCCTTAGATCATGTCTCTTTCAAATCATGGTTAAACTTTATGTATTTGTTCATTATCATCATTGCAAATGATCAAGCAATATCGATTTTGGGTGAAGTGAACATTATATTTTAATCATAACTTGCACACTGCAAAAGTTGGTAGATGGAGGAAGTAGAACCATAGCCATGTTGATATTTTTCCCACTGTTCCTTAATCATTGGCATGTGAATATGTGGTGTAGTAATCAAAGGAACAGGGAAAACATGAAATGTAGTAATCAAAGGAAACTTCAGTGCACCTGTTACTCTCATATATCAACATTTCACATCGTCAATTGATTTAAATGATTTAAAATGACAGAAAATACACTGATTGATCGAGTGAGATATTTATTAGTAAGAAAAAACTTCACTTTAATCCATTTCAAAACTAACAATCATAGAACAGGGATACTAAAAAGCATAACCTTAATAGAGGCGTAAATCATAATGGAAATCTCTAATCCACTTTACAAAAATAATAATTAAAAAATGGCCCAAAATTTTCATTTTCTATAGAATTACCACAAATTTTGCAATTGTACACCATCATGAATTCACGTGAAATTGACAAAAAATAAAAAAATAATAAAATATATAATAAAAAAAATAGCCCTCCCACATTTAGTGTATTTTTTTGGACATTTCCTAATTTTTCACAAAAAAATATGGAGTAAATTACACGAATGGTCCCTATGGTTTAGGGTAATTTGCACGTTTGGTCTCTAACTTATTTTTTAACTCGGAAGGTCCCTACTGTTTGATTTTGTTACGCGTTTGGTCTCTGTCTTACCTAAAAATACTATTTTGCCCTTGATTTTTTAATTTATTTCAATAAACACACCCCCAACCCAACCCCCTCACCTTACCTTACCATTCCCACCATTTTTTCTCTATTTAAATAATAGTTTTTTTAGGTAAGACAGGGACCAAACACGTAACAAAAACAAATAGTAGAGACCTTCCGAGTTAAAAAAGTAAGTTAGGAACCAAACGTGCAAATTATCCTAAACCATAGGGACCATTCGTGTAATTTACTCAAAAAATATATATATTTCGAAATCTCTCTTTATCTAAACTTCAATCAGACTTTAAGTTTCACAAGCATCGTAAGTTTGTATTATATGTGTATTTGGTGTTTAACTTGCACTATAGTGATTTAGTTTGATGTGTTCACGCCTAAGTTGGTGTCAAACTAAATGTGTATTTGACAAAACTAGTTGGCAGCCAAAAGTTGTAGTTTTTATTTGTATATAAGGTGATGTTTGTTTTTTGTCTGCAGATCTTCTTGGCATTATCTATCATCGCCACGCAGACCACGCGCAGATATTAGGTTTCGCAGACTGTTTGTTTTTTTGAAGACTGCAGACCTAAAAAGGTCTGGGCGTCCTCTTCTCGGCGCAGATGTGGACCGGAATCTTCAAACCTCTTCAGACATCATCTAGCCTAAAAAACACATATATCTTCGTTTTTTTTTTTTTTTGGTTTTTTTTTTTTTTTTTGAAACTTAGATTTATTCCACCTTTATCTATGATAAACAATTTTGGAAACAAAAAATTACAATACTTAAAGGAAAAAGGTTCGACGACACAATCGTGACTTTTGTAACAAATTCACAAATAAAAATTTAATTACAATAATGGTCGTTAGGGCTGTTTATATAGATATAAAAAAATTGTAATATTGTCTTATATTTTTTGTGTCAAATTTTATAAAACATTATTTAATGCAATATCATTCATTTTTTGGAATAAATATTTATAGACAGATTTTAATTGATTTAATTGAAAAGGTAAAATGAAAATTTTGAAAATTTCATTTAAAATCAAAGTTTATTTCCATCCATTTTACTTGTTAACTTCTTTTATCCTTAATTACAATGTTTAGGTATACCTTTACGACCAAAGTTTATTGGTTTTTATCAAATATATACGTTAATTTGTACCATTTTATTTTCATTTTTTATACAATAATACATAAAAATCGATCTACATTTGTTAGTTATCTATAATAAAATCATAAAATTATTGAAAGACTCTTTTAAGTTTGAAAAAACCGGTTTAATTAGATTTTAGTTTATTCTAGCAGCATGCAGATGTTAAAAAACAAACGGTCTTCTTCTTTCAGACTGTAGACGTTTGGTCCACCTCTTGTACTGCAAAGGTCTGCAGACTATAGACATTTTACATCAGAAAAAACAAATAGCACCTAAGTGTTCAACAAAAATAGCCGGAAGCTTTTGAAATATTTAAATTACATAAATAAACAACTGTTTAAAACCAAAAAACATATAATTTTAATTTTAAAGGGTATTCTAATAAATTTGTTATAATATGCAAGACCTTTTTGTTAAACGCTACATGAAATAGTTTTTAGATTAGGAGATTTTTGTTTAAAATAAAAACTAAAATCTCTGGGAAGTTGGAACTTGAAGATAACAAAGAATGCAACCATATCCATTTAAAGTGTAATACAAAATCATTCAGAGTTGAAATTATGTCAACAAAAAGTAGCTAAGATTATTATTTGTGAGGCAACAGGGGCTCCAGTATAAGTTGTGTTTCACCTGATTCCATATCATCTGAAGATAAGTCCTGTTTACGTTTCTCTTTGAGTCTTTGTATAAAGCTTGAACTGTTATGTATAGATGGTTTTGGTGGTGTTTTATTAGGTAAACCATTTGAGATTGTCTCTACATTTTGAAGACAAACTTGAACAGCATCATGCACTCTAACAAAACACCACTCTCTACCCACCAGATCTATGAATCCAGATCTTGCTAGAGTCTCAAGAACATCTCCATTTGGATTCGCAATTGCTATCTGCATTTACAAATTTACCCTCGTTTATTTTTTCTCAATATATATATTTTTTGTTTTTAAATTCAAAAGTTTGCACCTGGATGTTTCTTGATTTGTATTCCTGATACAACTCTTTTAAAGCTTGAACTGCACTGGAGTCCGCATAAGTAACAGCTGAAAAGAACACGAGTCAAAAACTCAAAACCTTGCATTATCATATAAAATGAGTAAATTACATTTTTGGTCCCTCAGTATAGCTGGTTTTTTCAGTTTTGGTTCCAAAAAGTTTTCTCTTTCAGTTTTGGTCGCTTGTAACGTTTTTGTTCCTTGTTCCAAGTAAAATATCTATATTTTTGGAACCAAATTTGCAAAAAAATCAGAGGGACCAAAAATAGTCATTTTACTTGAAACATGGATCAGTCGAGACGTTAGAAGAACCGAACCTTAAATAAAGACGAAAATTGAAAAAATTAGCTTTACTCAGGGACCAAAATGTAATTTACTCTATTTAAAAAATATGACGTTTAAAATGTTAAGTACATACGTGCCATCTCTAGAATTAAAAAATATATTCTTTCAACTTCTGGTCCACGCCTGCTCCCAGATTGGTCAACAGCAATTTCATACTCCCGCAGCCTGAAACACATAAAAAATAAAAAATAAATAGTAACCACTATAGTTTTTTGTTATATTTTTAGCCATTGAAAGGATTTTTTTCTAATTTAACCACCAAGAGTTTGTTTGTTTTTCAAAAAAACCACTGTAATGAATAGCAAAAAAACCATTTGAAGATAAATTTTGTTATTAATTTTTTTAATTCAAGTTTTAATGGTTAAAAAAAAAAAAAAAAAAATTTTGGCTTGTTTACTAGAACAAAATTCCAAACTATTGTATAGAATTCAAACTGGAAAAGAACAAAGTACAGTCGTTTTTAAGAAATCTGGCCTAAAGATTTTGTTAAAAGTAAGAAAGAGGAGAAGGGCAGATTAGTAATTTAGTATTGACCTGTCTTTTATAAAGCTTGTATTGGCAAAATACAAAGGTGCATCTATACGAACAATGACAATCCCGTTGTATGTATATGCTTCTGGATACTGTTGGATGTTTCTATAAACAGTTGTGCCAGGTAGACGCCCCAACACAGCTGGAAATACAATTATATAAAATAAAAAAAAAAAATTGACAATTACACATAAACATTAGTCACATGTGGTAATTGTAAATATGTAATACAACAATTTCTCTTTTCTCACCAATATGTGGATTTGCTGATTCATGGATCACAAAAGCAAGAGAAAACCCCACCTATGAATTTTCAACAACCAGATTAATTACTAATTTAAGAAAATTAATATATGAAGAAATAAATAAATGCAAATGCAACATACCCCAACAAGGACACCAATCTCTATCCCAAAGAATAAAGTTGTTGTACTAGTAACTGTCCAAAGAAAAAAATCTTTTTTATCTACTCGCCATAAAAAGATTGCCTCTTCATAGTCTACCTGTAATTATTATTATTATTATTAAATAATAATTAAAACTTAGGATGTGAACAAATACATGGGTCCCACACAAGACAAGATCAAATAAGGAAACTTACTAGCCCAATTACAGCAGAGACTACAATGGCTGCTAGAGCACACTGTAAAAAAAGTCAACAGGAGGTGAAGTGAAGTCAAGATAGAAAATAAAAAGTTTTAATAACTGTATTATATGTACCTGAGGTATAAATTCAAACAATGGTGTCATGAATAACAAAGCAGAGCAGATGATAATGCCCATGACAAATCCTGACAAACCGGTTTTTGCCCCACTTTCATTATTAACTGCTGACCTTGAAAAGGAACCTATAAAACATATTTAATTCCAAACTGGTCCTTTAGAAGCATTTCAATATTTATAAAACCTAGCATGTATTATTGAGTTATATCACTTGTTCCTTTTTGACTTAATGAGCTTAATGGTTAAGCACATGCAGGTATACATTACTTTCTTTTTTACTTAATCGGGACTGAATGACTTAATGAGTTAAGTAAAAAAAAAAATGGGCTTTATATACAAGAAGATATCTTACCTGTTGCAGGGTATGCTGAGAAAAAGGAGCCAAAAATATTAGCTACTCCTAGGCCAAACAACTGTTAAAAAAAACATTGAACGAGTTGGAAAAGATTTATGATTTACTTGCTTTTTTACAAATAAAATTATATAACATTATAATTACCTCTTGATTTGAATCCAATTCATATCCATTCTTTGCTGCCAGAGCTTTGGCAATCCCCACAGATTCCTGAAGTGAGTGGATGGTTAATATTAAGTCAAAGGACCAATTGTGTAAATAATGAAAAGATATTAAAGATTAGAATCCTGTTCTCACCAGTATAGCCACTCCAGTGATTAAAAATGTGGTTGGGATTAATGACTTGACATGTGCAAACTCTTTAGGAATGGAAAAAGAGGGGAGCCCTTGAGGTATATCTCCCACCTAAATTTCTCACAGTCGTTATATTGATATAACAGAACAGAAACAGTAATTTCAACTCTATGATTCTATTATTACTATTATTCTCTCACCAAAGAAATGGAAGATGGATGAAATATTTTTACAAAAGTTGTACCCAGAACAACTGCAGTGAGGGGCCCACCTGCTCGCAAAAACCGTAAATTTTTCCTTGTTTTACCCTGTAAACAGAACACAACTGTAAAAAAATTAGCAAGGCCAAGTGTGACACATGAAATTTTAACTTACTTGGAAGAGCTACTTCACCAATTGCTTCATGGTCAACATGATTGCAAGAATAGTCAACCCCATCACAAAAGGAGGCCATGAAAACTACAAACAGAAACCATGGACAATGGTTACCACAGCAATTAATAAGATATAAGTAAAATCCCCATATTTCTGCCTAATATAGTATTGAAGAGATTTACATGACTGACAATATTGAGATTTGAGATACCTTATCTGCACCTGATATTATACTCTTAACCAGTGGGATTATTTCACTGCTTCTCACTATACTATATCCCAAGAAATATTTTGCTTGAGATAGGGCAATAACAATGGCAGATGCAGTTGTAAAACCAGAAATAACAGAGTGGCTGATAAAGCGGATGAGCCATCCTAGCCTATAATGAATAAAAAAACATCGATCAGTGAAATTGAAGAGTTAAGATGATATTAAAAAGAGAAGTTATTGAGGCAAAAGTACCTCAATAGCCCCATTGTGCATTCCAAAATCCCAACCATGAGTGATAATAATATAGCAAGTTCTGTATATAATTCACCAGATGAGTCAACATTGCCTAGAACATTAGACACCAATAAAGAAACCAGTGCTACTGGACCAACAGCCAGCTGGCGTGATGACCCGAATATGCAGTAGACAAATATAGGCACTAATCCTGTATCTGTGATGAAATATTTGTTAATAAAGTTATTTGAATTTGGAGAAAACTATCATATGTGAAGAGCAGATAGTCAACTTACAAAGTCCATATATTGGTTGAAGTCCAGCTAGCTTTGCATACGACATAGACTGCTTACATGCAAACAAGATAAAGTGAACAAGAAAAGAATTTTAATGGTTGCTAGTAGTATATGAGATCAAAATAACCCACTGCAATGAAACGATATGATAACAAACAAGTCAGAAGAATGGAATATATTTTAAAGAGGAACTGTTCCAAGGATTCAGAAATACAATGCCATTCTTGCACACTTTCCTCTCTAAGGATCAATTTGTTGAAAAATACAATCTGTTCACTAAAAAACAATGGAAATCATCTAAATTCCATGAAAACCCCAGATTTAACTTATTATTATGTTTGTCTAAGGACTAAGGAGTTTCACATTGGCTACTGAATAGTGAATTCTAATGAGAACGACTTTCACATTCAGAATTTATACGAATTCTAATCAAATTCAACTTAGATCTATCTAACTTGTAGTATTTATACGAATTGTTAACAAATTGCAAGTAGAGAAGTTCGTGAGGCTGTGAGATGTTTGCATTCTATCTAACTAACTGGAATATCTGATATGTACCTGTGGGACAAGCATGATACCGACGGTGACACCGGAGACTAGATCAGGCTGGAGATATTCACGCCAATTGTATGTCCGAATCCAACGTGAGCAAGGGAGAAAGAGCTCAATCCAATCAATCATCTTCATCCGATTCAACTTCGCACTCCATCTCAACATCGAAGAGGAAGAAGAAGACGTCGCCGGCGTGTTATCTCCGCCAGTATACGAGTGTTGAAACGGTATGACTTTCACACTTCGATTCGTTGGCGTCCTCATGATTGACGACTGTGGTGCTGAAGAAAGCTGAAAGCAAATAGGTCTGTACTGTTGCTCAGTGTGAAGAAATAGCCATAAATGGAGATCTCCGGTGATAGATGACTTTTGGAATTGGTGAGAGGGCGTCTCAGCCACTGAGACGCCTTTTGATTGTGGACGACCACCAGTTTCTGGTATTTTGAATTTTGATCCATTCCGGGGTTTGTCAAGTTCGTTACGTCAACGATTCTTGGGTCCCTGAAACAACATCAATACTATGCTCCCCTCAAGTCAAACAGAAGATGACAACCCACTTTTGTAGGGATGCTTCTGTCCAATCTTTGGAGTGAATGACAAATTCTTTGTGTAATTACTTCATAATATTCCAATTCAAAAAATATAATTTTATTAACAAAAATGTGCTACCACTTTCATTCATTCTCATTATCGGTAATTTTTAGGTTAAAAATATTTTAATCTCTAATCTACTCCTAACCTAAGCTAACAACACATATTCCACATATGTCCACGACATGACTAGAACCCTAGACCTCAAAGAGGGAGGGCACCACCTGATACCGCTGGGCTACAAGCTCTTTGGTTTTTAATTAGTACTTACCATACAATATTATCACTTTGGTTTTAGTTAGATACATATTATATGTTTTATTTGGCTATAAATATTTACCATATGTTTGTAAGGTGTAGTTAGTTTTCTTAAAAACATGTTGCGCATGTATGTCTAGTTTAATCTATTTGTTTGTGTAGTGATGATAATGAGATACTCCAAATTAGGATTTCTAATTTACTATATAATGACACATTCATTGCTTACTTTTCTTTCTTTGATTAATGATTCTTTCAGCTTAATATTGGACATATTTTTGTTTGACTTTTGATTTTTATATAATGATAAATTTTATTGCCCTTTTTTGTTTGATCTATTATTTTCGGCATAAGGTGGACATATTTTTCATTTAGGCTACTTGGATAAAATCCAAATATTTTTTAGTAAAGTTTTGATCGGGATTTTTTTTGCCATTTGATTATTAACAATCAATATAAGAAATTGGTTAATGTAGTTTTAACGAATAAGTTTTCTAAATTATAAAAATTTGTTAACTAAGTGGAAGGAGATGGTATATAAATTGAAGGCATTACTTTAAAAAAAAAATCCCTTATATATTTGGTTTTTTTCGAATTAAATCTTAACTTTATTTTATTTTTTCTTGAAAAAAGTCTTTATACTTTTTCTATTTTTCTCAATTATGCCCTTACAATTTTTATTTTTTCAATTTACCCCTTACATTTTCACTTTTTTTTTTATTTAGCCCTTATATTTTTTCATTTTCTCGGATTAAACCTCAACTTTATTTTTTTTTCTAAAAAATTCTTACATCTTTGTTATCTTGAAAAAAAAAAGTTGCCTTCGGTTCCATAATTCTATGACAGTGATCTCAGCTTCATGATAGTTTGGAGAACGTTGTGATGTAACTTCATTGCTTGGCGATTGTATAAATTCTCTCTTCCACGTGGCATCATCGATGTGATATGCTGTAGGCACATGTAATCATCTAGAAAAGTTCAACCCAATATGTGTAACAGCCATCGGTTTGATCAAGGGTTATTCTCATTAGGAGCCATAAGATTCGATGATGGAAGAACAACCCCTCCCATCTTTCTCTTCTTGCCAATGGATGATATCTCTTTTTTCTTATTGTCTTTCTCATCTTCCATCATAGAACCATATGGCTCCCTAATGTGAATAAAAAAAGCCAACAAGAACAAATTTTACCCTTCTTTCGCCATAACCAACATAAAAAAAACACAATGTAGATAACTCTGAATTATATTGATGATCGTTGCGCATCTTGGGTTGAAAATGTCCATATCATCACATGAACTTACAATGTTCTTGGCCAATCGTTAACTAATGGATTTATAGGACAACATCTCTAGATTTACTCTAAAATAGCATGAAGCTTGAAGCATCCGCTAGGGGATTATGGAACCAGATGCAATATTTATTACAAGAAATACTCCACCAAAGAAGTTGTTAGATTTTGGGTTTAAGAATATCAATATATACTTGGATAATTCTAGGATCGTGATTGCAATCACTTTCCAAAATCTGTGATTTCGACCTTATATCCTGAAGTATCATGAAATCAAATTTTGGATAATCCAAGATTGACAATTTAGAAGTCAAGTCATTTCTAAATCTAAAACACAGACAATACCTTGTTGTTTTGTGTTCTTGAGAGATAGAGAGAATCAGAAGATCAATTTCGAGTATGAGAAAAAACTTAACCCTTTTTTGGAACAATTTTTATGTTCTTATAGGGGGGAGAAAAGAAGTTAAATGGTGGTTACATCCATTTTGACGCCAAAAAGGGTAGTTATAACGGTGGTTATTAGACATAATCGATTCTTACATCATAGTGATATCACCACTTATTTTGGCGGGAAAATGCATGTCCGGAGTCTTTCCTGATATAGCGGAACCACCGTCAGGACTCTGGCCCTTGGACCTCGTAAGGGGTGCTGCTTCTAGACCCCGCCATGGGCGATGCCCCTTGGAACCCCATACCTAGAGGTGCTACCCTCGTATTCTCGAGTTCACATTTATTAATATGAGTGTACAACGCACACCTCCAATATCGGTGAGTAGATAGCACTCAGCTTATCTCAATATTAATAATAATTACATTAAAGTATGTTGATAACACTAAAACCACCAACAAATATAAATGATTTTTTAGAATAAATAAATAAAGTTGAGATTTATTCTGAAAAAATAAATGTAAGGGCTTAATCAACAAAAAAACAAAGTTAAAATATAACGGGTAAATCAAAAAAATAAAAACTATAAGTGCTAAATCGAAAGAAATAGAAAAAATATATGAGTTTTTTCAGAAAGTAGATGTTTAATCCAAAAAAAGCTTATATAACTAATATATAAGGTGTTATTGTGATTAACAGCTAAATTGAATTTGAACAATTAATTTTTTTTTTCATACAACATTTTTTTTATAGAAATAAGCTTAGACAGTAACATATTTACTGAAATAACATTGGTAATTCTGTTTACAACAAAATGTATATCGGATAATATCAATTATATGTATGTTTATATAAGAATTTTAATAAAAACGTATAGGAGGGCCATATTCTTTGTTCATATCCGACTTTCTTTTCCTTAACGCCAATCAGTGGATGTGGATCACATGTTCTGTCTCATCGGTTTTAATTATATATTGCGTCACATTCAGTATTACTGTATTAGATAATGTGATACACGCCAGCATTTAATGGAGCCCTTACACCTTTCGCTTTGTATAAATGTGGAATCTTAACTTTTAACCTAATAAATTACAAAAATGGTCCTTTAACTTTAGTGATTTTTTAAGTTAGTCTAAATTTTTTATTTCTTTCTACAATTGTAGTCTATACTAAGATGACCTCCCTCCAAAAGCTTGAGGGTTCATAAATTATAATCTACTTGTGTAGTAAAATTACAAAAATGATCGGATGATTATATTTTTAACAATATCTAAAATGACCACATATTTATATTTAACTTCTGACTAACGCTAAATGCTCGTTTTCATCTACGAAATTCGTGATGATTTTTTTTTTTTTTTTTTTTTTTTTTTTTGCAATGTAAATATGAGCAAATTTGAAATACAAAAGATAAAATAAATAAATAAATAAACACTAACATTCGTTCATCAACAAGTTCATATAAGTTCATAAAAAGAACACAAACTAATATTATTTTCTTGTATCTTTTTGGCATTTTCATGTTTGTTTGCTTTGACCAATTCCTTGAGACACATAATTTAATAGAATAAAAGGACTTATACCTTTGATTATTTCGACCAAACACAATATTTACCAAAATTTACATTCCAATCCCTGTAAATTATTTCAAAATCCTTGAAACATTATGTTTTTAGTGTTCCTGAATCCTGAAAACATTTGCTTCATAAGGATTTACAGGCTTGACATTCCATAATGCATCCATGAGAAATCATAGAGCCCGAGAGCATGTCATGAAAAGTACTTATGCACCGTTAAGCCCATGTACGTCTCTCCATGTAGGGCACCATACAAAATTACAAATGAAGTAATTTTGGTTTCTATGAAGATTTTTATATTATTCTGCTTCTGTTTACTAAATAAATCACATGCATTGATTCCAATCATGATCAATCACGCTGTATTTTAGTCGATGATTATGAAGTATTTTAGTTGTTTTTAATTTTAAAATTTGAACTGTGAGTGTAAAAAATGGTACCATAAAGAACCTTTACTTCTTTGCTTGTATCCTTAAAGGCACTCCAAATAGTCGACCATTACAAACTATTACCAAGAGAACCCAATGTTTTTTTAACGATTTAGGAGATTATATAAGTTTTTCGAAATACTTGCAATGATTTGCAACATCATTGAAAGCATTTTTAGCCAAGTTTCCAATTATCATCCTCGCATGTGATAAATTAGTTGAAAACATGGATTATATAACTCCAATGCTGCTCTCACATTAGATTCCTATGGTTAATTATACGCTAGAAACCGGTGATTTTCGCTTCATCATAGTTCATACTTCATATATACCACACACATGACATCATTAGCTCCAGAAAGATATATCATGAATACATAGAGAAGTTCCTTGTGATTGGAGTTTATTTTTAGAGATGTGTGTGTGCATGCTCGGGTTTATGAGAGAACTCATAATCAAGATGAACAAAAGCGCGTTCAATCTCAGGTAATAGCTCAAGCTTTTCTTGTAAGGATTCCCCGATATCATGAGCTGTTTGTAAAGGCATATCAAAGGGTAGGACAATGTCCACCTCCACAAAGTAATGAGATCCAAACGTATATATAAGCCCTTACAGTGTCTATGTGTCTGATTGCCTTGTGGTGGTTCCAACACAAATACGTAAGTTTCTGTAGATATTCTGGTGCTGCTGATCTCCCAACAAGGGAGTTCACATTCTCCACCACTGTTACAGACCAAGTCCTGATCGTGTACATTGCCAGCTGTCACCACACAACACAACCTGTTTATGTGTACATTGAGACAAAAACAGGTTGTACTGTGTTTGACATGCATTGGACTGGGACTCAGACTTATGTCAATAAGACAAAAACTACAGTGCATGTCAAACACACAGTACAATTTGTTTTTTGAAACCAAGGGGGATTAAAGGAGTGAAAAGAAGTTACTATTATAGCTCCAACGGGGTCCATCCAGTCACTGATATAATTAGCAAGTAGTACAGCTATTAAGCCGATAAGATTTGTGACCACATCAAAGAAATGATCTTGAGCATAGGCTTTGACAATCTCATTGGTGAATGATCGACAATATATACATAACACAAGTTTGACTAAGGTCACACAAAGCATGATGCCAACAACCCATTGTTCTTGCTCCTTGGTTAAGCTAAACCCATTCTCCTGGAATAGTATCAAGGAAAATTCTATGTGTAAAGGAATAAAAAAAAATTTAATTGAACTAATGTTAGTAATTTGTTTGCTAATTACATTTGATGCTAATGTGCGCACAGACTCTAAAATTATCTGCAGTCCAAGAGTTGCCATAACCGAGGCAAAGACAAGTATTCCCTGCAAATATGAATTCAGATGAGATGTAGGGATCGATCTAGATCAGCCATGAAGAAAGAGAAAGAGTGAGATTGAATGACTAACCAAAGGTTGCATTCGTCTTTTTCCGATTGGATATAGATAAGGGTTTGGAATCTGCATGGAGAATGCTGTAAACCAGAGGATAAATCCTGATAAGAGATCAAGAAGTGAGTCTAATGTGGAGGCTATTATGGCCAATGAACTACTTCTAATGGACGCGTAAACTTTTGCAATGAAAAGAATCATGTTTGCAACATTAGATATGTTAATGGCAAGTGTCTCCCTTCGTGCTAAACTTTCCTTCTCTTCCTGCAAGTCAAAACTATCAAATATTACACATTCTAATGGCAAATAATTAGAGCTTTTCAGGTCATTTAAAAATGGAATACATACTGCAGACATACGAGGTACAAAACCACGTTCTGCTAAGGCATCCATTTCTGTAAAGCCCTCCAGCATCTCTACCTGTTGTTGATAATATTCTGCCACATGGTTTTCTGACCCTGAGAAAGTTTAAGTAAATGAAAAAAATGTAACAAAACAGCATTAAAGAATTTTTGCCCAATGTTCATGAATCAGATAGCACAGAAATGTAAAGCTTGAATACAGATTGAACGGAATTGAAGAATTTTTGCCCAAAAAATTATGTTTGATTTGTAAATTTTAGCATAGCAATCCAATTTTGATAAATCCTTCAATTTAAAGGTAAACCTGCTATTCATGATGAACTTAAACACACTATGAATGCAAACGAGGTGAGATATTAATCTATTAAGTAATATGGATCAAAGTGGAAGAAACGAATCAAATGGAAACGATGATCCGTGAGAAACTATCATCGTTTTCTAATGAAGCAACTAATATGAAGAATCAAATGGAAACGGCAATGGTGAGAAACTGGTTTGTTTATTAGCACCTGATACCCTGAGATAGTCATGGAGTCGTCGAGGAGGTTTCTCCTTATGCTCGAAAGAGAACTGAAATCCATCGAAGTTCAACCTCCAGGAGCCATCGCAACCACCGCCACCGCTGATATTGGCATCGTTCAAGAGCAATAACTCATGTTCAACAGCGTGATCTCCTTCTCCGCTCGCCGTCTCCACCATTGTCTCCGGTATAACAGATCGGAAACCGAAAAATGAGAAACGAAGGGTTCGATATTTGAATCTGCATGTACTCCACCGCACAAACAGAGTGGGGGTGTGTTATGAACATTGAAGCAAAGAAAGATGGCAGGGAAAGTAAAACTGTAGAGGCACGAAATGCGCGTGATATGCACGCGCTAGGATGGCCGGACACACGTGGTTGTCCTTTGTCTTTGTTCAGAAAAGGGAGCGGGAGTGAGGTAAAACATGGGTGGTTACTGACGCTCAAAATACGATACATCTTTTAGAGTAAATTACAGTTTGGTCCTGTAGTTTATATCTATATGAAGTTTTAGTCCAAGTTTTTAATTTTTGATATGGATCATTCATGTGGTTTCTGAAAGTTGCATCGGTGGCTCCTGTACCATCTAATTAGGGATGACCATTTGTTCGGACCCGGATCAAGAACCGAAAACCAATTTAGTAGGAAATGGAGAATCGAGAATCAAACCGAATACCTCAATTTCAGTTTCTGTTTAATTTCGGTTTCGGTTTTTCTCTGGTCCAATCTGGTTCCAGCAAGTCAAATGCTAATCCCTAGTTAACATCTAAAAATCCTCTTTACATGTAAAATTATGAGATTTCCCATCTTTTTGCCCTCGAACTAAAAGTGTTAGAACTTATATACATCAAGGAGCATTTCTGTAAATTCCATATAAAAAAAAAAAATATGAAACCCTAAATCTATAAACGACAAGGACCATGCATGCAACTTTTATAAATGATAGGGGTAAGCACTCATCCATAAACCTTTACTGGTACAAATAACATAAATGTAACTGGCTCTTTCAAAAAAAAAAAATGTAACTGGAAAAACCAACCCCAAAGATTTGGGACCAAAATAAATATAACCCACGTTTAGAAAAAAAACAACCCCAAAGATTTGGGATCAAAAGTGAAGACCATTATGTCAAAAATTAGAAAGTTCTACTATTTTTTTTTCAAAAGTAAACGACATAGACAAAAACTATAATTTAATGTATCTTTCAAAATAAAATAAACAGAAACTCATAACTTATATAAATCAAAACTTTAATCATCCAATATATTCAAGTAAAACAATATTTTAGCAAGCCTTTAAAAAAAATAAACAAAAAAAAAATTAATAAATAAATAAAAATAAAAATTGTTGCATAGGCCTGATACTGAAAATATTATTACAAATAATTAGTTTTTGTTCTAAGGCCTGATACTGAAAAACAAAGAAGATAAATTATTAAATAGTTTTAATGACCAATTAATCGACATAAGTGGTTGCTTTGCTGTCTTGAAAAGCATTATTCCATACTCCATACTATTATATAGTTATTAGAATTTTACCACTAGGTTACACTTTAGAATATCTTGAAGTGATGAAAAAGCTATTAAAAGAAGGATGTGGAGGCAATTCGATGCAAAATTGGATAAATTTATAAAAGATTATATGAACAATTTAGCACATGCACGATTATCACAAATGGTTTCATGTAAAACCATTTTTTTTTTGTTATGATTAAATACTGATACGTAAGTTGCGAGTCAACATACAATATCAACTTAAACTAGAAAACATGGATCAATATACGATTTTTTCATAAAGGCAAAAGAAAAGGAGAAAACGTGGTGAAAAGAAGAAGCATATATACTTTACATAATTCGATAGTTCAAGTGTTGCTTTTCTAAAATTTCTCTCTTTAACTACGACTATGGTCAACAAGATTATCATAAATATATTCATCTTAATTTGTTCTTCAATTAAAGGTGTTACATTTTGATCTGAAATGTGTACGTAAAGTTTGTGCATCCATCAAATTCATACTAGAAATTATCATGATCATGGTAGAAAATGCTACATTTAACATCAAGCATAATCAGTGAATCTACTCCTCCCTTAAATTACGATTATATAAAATTGTTTAACAAAGATAAATATACAATACAACCAATATGTTGAGAGGTTAGAACACAAAAGGAGCAGATTTGCTTAGTTTGCCACTGAACCCTTGATACATTCTGCAAATAAAAAATATACACAATAAACATTTAAAAATATATTTTAAAAAAAGAAACATGGAATAAAATTAAAGTGATATATAGTACCTCAATCTCAATGTTTTTTTCCAGCATTTTTTTTTTTTTTTTTGCTGGAATGTTATATCTAGGCTGCAGAGAGAACAGGAAAGGTTGCACAACACCTGATCACTACACCCTGCTACAATGAACTCAGGAGAGCAACAAATTCTGAAGGTTCTTCATCTTGCTTCACCACCTGCCACGTGGACTTAGTGTGAAAAAAAAATAATAATAACATTTTTTTTTGTTTTTTTATTATAAATACTAAGTAATAAAATATTTGAAATATGATTCGTACCTTAACATGAGTGTCCTTTGACAAACCCATCTTGGAAACAAGATTATTAATAACTTCTTTCACAGAAAAATCTGCCAACTCAGCACACCTTTGGTTATCTTTATCATGCAAGAAAGCTTTTCCCACCCATAAATACAAACCGGAATCCCCAATTCCGGAACCTGATTCCGGAGTCACGAAAATAAACACACGACTGGAATCCATGTCACCAGCATAAAATCTCATAACCTTTTCCAAACTAGGCCACTCAAGCACCACTAATTCTTGCTTCACATTCTGATCTTCTTGTGAAGCTTTAGATTTCTGGTCAAACTCGGTCAAACTATCTGAACAAGAACCCTGAACAAGAGATTCATCATCACTCATCATTGGTAGTTTAAGACATTTAGGCGCACTACCTCTGCGTTCAGCAATCGAAAGTGAAGACCTTTTTGAAGGTGATAAAACTGATTGTGAACATGAGTTTGAAGTGAAATTCACATCAATGAATTCAGAGGTTTTGGATATGGAATGAGGCGAGAGTTTAGATGGAAGAATCGGAGCAAGTGATAAAGCTGAAAATGTGGATAATACCGAAGGAGATGCAACAGGGGAATCGGAATAGCATTTGGAGGAGCTAATGGTGGAATCGGAAGATTGGGAATCAGGAGATGATGATGATGATGAAGAAGAAAATGAAGATCTTGAAGAAAAAAGAAAATTAGAATTAGAATTAGAATTGTTATCTGAACCCATGAGTAAAGAAGAATCAGGGTAGACTCTAGAAGGGGCAGATTTGGAAGCTAAAACAAACTCCTTCATGTTTCCATGTGCAAATTTACGTCTCAAAACACTCCAACTACTTTCTCTAACTGGTAAATGAGTTTCTTGTTCAGTCTCAAAAGAAGCAAAAGGAGGGACAAATCCACCTACAATTGCTTTCTGTATAATCTCAAAGTCAACATTGTATGAGTCAACTATTCTATCACCCGGGGTCACTTTTGTCAACTTTGAAACATCAATCACCTTTCCTGATTTGTCCATCAAAGGTAAAAGACTAGAAAAAGCATCCCAAAAGTAAGAAGGTTCTTCCCCTTCTTTCACCACAACTATCGGCCCTTGAACTTTTTCATATCTAACAATCTGACAAACTGCACCTCTTGCATCTCTTTCCATTAAAGATCCACATTTTACACCCACCCAAATGTAAATACTCGAAGGTATATGCATAATGAACACACCCCTAGAATCTAGAGCAACTGGGGAAGGAACATTTAACATTTTTGGAACAAGATGTAAAGGGTCGTATGATGAGTGAGGTGCAATTCTATATAATCTAAGTAATGAGCTTGGAGATAAAGGAAACGCGTGTACCCTTTTCTGACATTGTAAAAGTTGGCATGCAAATCCCATATTTGGATCCGCGATTTCTCTTGCAGCTTTTACGTATTGAAAAGCATCATCAAAGCTTTGACCTTCTCTCCACATACGATATGCGATCACCAATGAAGTTGACCGAGATACCCCTTGACAACAATGTACAAAAACTTTCCCATTTTGTTCTCTAACATCTTCAAAGTAATCGAATACATCGTATAGTATGCTTGTTATGTCTTCTGAAGGGCTATCTTGTAACCATAAAGTTCTGTACACGAAATGTCCTTTGAAATACTCAGGGCAGACAAAGCCTACACAATTGAGAATGTGAGTGATTTTGTGTTGTTTGAGTATGTCTTTATCACGTGCAACTGCATCACCACCTAAGAAGATATGTTCTGCTACTTTTGAACATTCTTTATCAAAGAAAGCAATCTTATCTCTTTTCACAAGGGAAGGATTCTTATCTGGGATTCTTTGGATTGATGATAAATCAAGCTTTAGCCTTTCGCCACTAGGTGTGCTGGGAATTGGCCACTCACCAACATCATCTGAACCTGCTCTTGGCCATTCATCTAAACTTCTTCTAGCAATTGATAATGGTGGTAGAAATGATCGGCCTTTACTGTTTGATCTAGGAGTTAATGGGACAGGACACCTTCGAATCTGTCCACCATTACTTGGATCTGAAGTGTCTTTTACACTGTCGGGATTAAGTGGTGGTAATGATACATGAGAAGACGACCATGAAGCTGACCTCCAATACATCTTCCTGTTACCTGGAATGGGATGATGGAGTCGTGAACCAGCACTGTCGATGTTATTACTCTCCCCACTAGCTTCATCCTCTTTCCCTACCATTCCACTTCAAAATCCCGAAGTATAATCGAAATCCACACTAGGGTTTTGTAATCTATGTTAACGCAGTGCTTGTCACTGAACCACAAAATGCCAACTTCAGGACCTTAATACAATTGAAAATTTTCACCTGCGAGCATCGAAAGAAAATTCGAGCAAAACAGATACTGAATCAAGCAATCAATAGATACATATACCTAAGCTTGTTGAAGAGGAAATTCGTAAGTTCTTATTACCTACATAAAACCAAAGGAAAGCGTGAAATAACCTAGTTTATGGATCTGAGTTGTGGAAACGAATATAAACCGAAATTGAGGGAAATAAATGTACTCCAACCCTGATTTCTAGGGTTTGTCGTGAAAATCAAATCGGTATCGGAAATAGGCGACATGTGTAT